CGGACTTGTCTCATTTTATAGGCTTATTTAATACCTACCTTTTTTATATAAACTAATAATAGTTTTTTTACGCGAGTAAAAAAAAACACTTTTCCATAACTTTGACCATTGTTTAAACAAAGTTTCCCAACTAGCCTCGAGTTGATTTTTTGATATCTTGTCTATAACACGTTTCCGAACAATATTCCGCAAAAAAACTTCTAATAGTATTTTTTTCCCGAAACAGGTTGTTTCATGTCTATAATGATTGGACTATTTGCTATCTGTTGACAGTTGCGAGTTGTCAAAATACCTTCTTGACCGAAATCGTAATCATCAGCCTCAAAAACATGAATGTCTATGTTTAAATTTTTTCATTGGTAACATAACTTAGATTTGGTTTTTATTATTCTTTACCTTTTAGTTTTGTCGACTTAAAATAACACGAATACTATTTAGCTCAGGTACAATTTTTATGTTATTGGAGTTGGTAGTTTGCGACCACAACTTAGATTCTTATAAAGTGGTGAAACATTGTTTAACGCAACAAAAAACAAAACTGTACATTCTACTTCACATTTCTAACGCTCTAAAATGCTTCACGTCCCATTTGCCGCGGTTGATTAGCGAACGTCAATCCGGCGATTTTTGAGCCGCTTCAACGATGTCCAAGCATTTGCACCGTACAGGCGAGTTCAATTAAGCTCCTCGCAAAAAGCGCAAATGGCGAAACGTGCGTTCAATTCATCTTGTTTAAGTCCGGCTGACAAGTATGAAACAGCCTTTTCCCATAAACGTTTTTTTCTCGAAAAAATCACACAACACGCTTGTTACGAACGCATTAAGTGATCCGATGAAAACGAAAATGAATTTTATTCTTCGGGAAGCCTTTGGTAAACAGAACGCAGCTGCGTTATACGAATTAATGTTATTTTGATTGAATAAATAAATTCCGCGGAACTTCATTACTAACAATTATATACTCATTTGAAGAAAATTGTTATGCACGATATTTAGTGCAAATTGTTCCTTTCTCTTTGCGAGTACGAAAAATTGTGACATTTCAAAACACTTCGCTTTCAGCAACAACTCCCGATAGCCCCGCCCACCTCCATTATTTTCAATTACGTCGGAAGGGTTTGTCTTGTCCCGTTTTTCTATTTTCGTACGGTTTAGAACAATTGAAATAAACTGGTATTTAATTGGCCGTAACTGTTGACACAAAGAAAGGAGAAAGATGTCAATCCCCATATGCGGTGCACGTGTGTATGTGTGTATGTACCGAGATAACTGAAGTTGTAGTATTTTTATTTAGATACGGAATGGAAAAATATTTATATCGAAAAAACGATAAATGCATTCCTTTCAAATTTGACCTAAATATGAGGATATCCACATAGATGATAACGAGTTTTGTTCAATTTCAAGGTTGATTGTATGACTTTATTACTTTCAGCGGCACTTAGACGTCATAAATGTAAATTTTAACAACTTATGTGTTTTTAACTAACAATATTGTAGCAAACAAATATTCCATGGACTACTTATATGTCCCTGCTGGCATTGAATTATACCACGAATATGTAGTAAATAGCTACAGTAGAACCACCAGACATATACCGGTTTTCAACATGTTAGTTCTCGTCAGTATACTATAGGTGAAACGACCGATGACCATCATATTTGTTTCTTTCTGAATTTAAAACATATCGTCTTTTGGAAGCTTCAAAATATGAAGAAAATGAAAAATCAAACGACAATCCAACAAGCACAGATAACACTGTGTATAGTTTTTCAGTTTTCAAAATATAGGTACCTAGATATTTTCTTAAAATTTTCTAAGGCGCAATTGTTAGATCAAAATGATGAAAATCCAAATAAGTTTTTTAAAAAAATCATGCAAAATAGACACCTGCATATAAATAATAAATTACAAGATGTAATATTGCACCGACAAATTCCTTATGACTCTTTGCCGGAAAAAATTAGGATGAATGTTTTATTTTTTGTTATTCTTACTATCCCACATGTTTTTTTAAATAATTCATTCAAATTCGGTACATTTAAACACTTTTTTCTATTTCTATTCTATAGGATAATACTTCTTTTGGATGCGTGAATTCGCTGGTCCTTCTAATTTTTTCTTAATTGTCACAACACTGATTCTTGCTTTGAGAGAGTAATGTTTCTTTATTCTTGAGCTTTTTATTTATATCAAAACGGAAACGTTTGAGGTCTTAAGTTTAGGTATATATTAACTTTTTTTCTTATTTGTGACAGATTCGCACGTACGATATTATCAGTGGAAATTGTAACAACCTGTATACTGTTACAAATTTATTTATCTTTTTTTAAGAGTTGCTAAATTATTTTAATAGTTCCAATACCAATCCATCAACTTACAATTAGAATATTTCTAGTTTTGAGACGAAATTACTATAAAAATAAAATGTATAAAATTTCATAACTGAAAAATTAAGTTATTATTAAATTTTACTTTTTAAATTTATGAGTTTATGATGGTTTAAGAAAACCACACATCAAGATTAATAATTGTTCAATTTTCTTTATCTACAAATTACAATCGATAGTGTTAAATTTAACAGAGAAAAAAAAACGTAAACTACAAATATACAAAAAAATCTAAAAAACCTTTTCAAAACATTTTTTTCCCGTAATCGATTGAAAGTAACTTACCTAAAAAGTAGTTTCTAATTTTACCGAAATATTATATAAACCAGTTGTAATATTTCCAGATTTATTTTCCAGGTAAAAAAATGTTATTTGCGAAGATGTATGTTCTACAGGGTGTTACAAATTAGTAGGTCAAGCAGTTAACTACATGTCCTTTGGACTAAAGTAATGGGACTTTTCTTTTGCCACTCTTCATTTCGGAGACCCATTTTCAAAAAAAAAAATTAAAATTTAAAAAATGATTTTTATTGATAACTCCGGTGTTTGTACAGATATTTATTTGAAATTTAGCACACAGTTTGATCTTAAGTCGACACACTTTTTATGTAATTGTGGTTTAAAATATCATACCGCAAACGGAGGGAAGGGGACTTGAAGTACCCAAGGATCCCCTATTTTTTTTTTGAGTATGCCTATGCTTTCCCAATATTTTTTTTTAGATAAAGCAGCGTTTTATTCTTTTTTTTTCACTCTTGTAATATTTTATTTGGGGCCTCGTTTACGAGATTTTGTAACTTTTTTGGATACGCGACATCAATTTAGTCGAGGTTAGACTTTAATTTTTGGTATTTTATGAAAAATTTCTTTTATATAGTACCAATACTAACTAAACAACAGTTAAAGAAACGAATTGTACGAGGTAAAGAACATTTTAGGCTGAAACCACATATTCTCATTTGGGACTTGCTATACAAGATTTGCAACTTGTTTAGATGTTAGATTTAGCTCAAATTAGATATCGCTGATCATGATGATGATCATTTCCATTTTAATTGCAATTGAAATTTCCAAATAGGCTGAACATTTGATACGTTTCCTGATATTTCTCTGGCATATTTCCGGGTTTTCCAGATTCAATACACCCTGTTCATAAATAAGTACAAACAAATAATACATAGTTATAAATTGTCGTTGGTAAAATTTTTAATACTATACAGGGTGAGTCATTAATAATGGTACACAGCTTAATGGCATATTGTTAACGTCAAAATATAGTGATTGAGCCAAACATGCCTTAATCAATTATTGCTCCTTTTCGTTCTACAGGGTGTTAAAGTTGAAAACATATTTTCCTTTTTTATCTATATTTTAAGTATGTATGGACCGATTGTTTTGAAAATTTGTAGTTTTACGTTCTTTGAGGAGGCAAATACGAATATACAAACAGTGTTGGGGTCACGTCTAGATACTATACTATCAATGTTAAAATCTGTCTAACTTTTTGTATTTTACAATTTTGAATTTTTTAACTACAAATTATTGGATTACGTTCAATTCTAAATAAAAAAGGTGTACTAGTTACAAATCGATAAACTGAACCGTTTTCGAGATACAGACGTTTTAAGTTTTTGAGATTCGGCGGGAATTAAATTAGAAAATTAGCAGGTCTTAAGACACCAAGCCTGTATTAAGAATTAAGACAAACATTACAGCAATTACAGATTTTATTATGCATATCTTAACAAATTATTAACTACCAGTAACTTCAATGCACTTTCTTAGCCTTTTATTAAGATATTCTCTTCTCTAAAAAATAACGACAAGGAAAAAACTACTTCTTAATCAAATTGAGTATAAAACAATATGGTATTGTAGCGACAGCTGTCAATTTATTTAGAAAAAATAATTTTCTAATTTAATTCTCGTCGAATCTCAAAAACTTAAAATGTCTGTATCTCGAAAACAGTCGAGTTTATCGATTTGTAACAAATATACCTCTTTTATTTAGAATTGAACGTGGTTCAACAATTTCTAGTTAAAAAATCCAAGATTGTAAAATATAAAAAGTTAGACATATTTTTACATTGACAGGACAGTACAACTAGCGCCCCCTAGACGTGACCCCAACACTATTTGCATATTCGTATTTGCCACCTCAAAAAACGTAAAACTACAAATTTTCAAAACAATCTTACATACTTAAAATATAGATAAAAAAAAAAGAAAATATTTTTTCAACTTTAACAAAAATGAGCAACAATTTATTAAGGCATGTTTGACTCAATCGCTATATTTTTACGTTAACAATCTGCCACTAAGCTGTGTACTATTATTAATGACTTACCCTGTATATAATAGCACTAGGGAAGTAATAGTTTTTTAATTGAGTAGTGTTTTTTGGCAATTTCTTATTATTAATTCTTATTTTTTAATAATTGAACTAAACTTTTTTAGTTTTATGTTCAATGATACAAAACTGTAAAGTCATGAACATTCTTCTTGATATATACTAGTACAATACTGCATTTAAAAATGTAGACGCACGGGAAATTTCATACCCGATCGAGCTGAAAGTGTGGAAATGAAAAAAGAACAAAAAAACTTACTAAACTCCCTTCGGCCTAAATAACTCCACGCCTGTTCGGAATGAGATCGTCACCGCGGTTTCGCACTGTTAAAACCCCATGCCCACCGAGACGCAGGATCGGGGTTGATATCGCGCTGGTCGAGTGTGACTTTCGAGACCACGAAGAAGAATCGACGCGATACTTCCAGCGAGAGCGCCAAGATGCGACTGTGGTCCAGCACACTTAATAGCGGACGGGCTGATACTGTGTGTTAGTTTTGATGGGATTAATCTATGTATTTGTATGTAGATCTACACGCGCATGCATCGTAATTACGAATTAGTAAGGAGTTCTTGTGTAAGGGGAGTAAGTTGTGGGAAGATTGCGTGCGGGGTACAATCCAAATCCGATTTGTATTTACGAAAATTGTAATCCCCGGTAATTGGCGGCGCGGCGCGACTAATGGGTGATGGAAAATCTATTTTTAACAGTGTCGTAACGGTAACGAATTTTCAGCACAAGTAACGAGCTTTTTAATGGGGATTAAGCCAGTTTCTTCACGCGTTCTTAGCTTGCCAGTCATTCCCTGACACTGGCGGGCTGTTCTACAACTTTTCTACTCAGTTTTGAATCACGAACAGCTAAATTAGAAAATATAATCTCGTATTTAAAAAGGAATAGTTCTACAGGGTGGTCCGAATTTTAAGCAGGAAACTTCGAGGGCAGATAGATCTTTTTAAAATAGTAGGTGTTTGCCTTATAAATATAGGTCTGGAAGGGCCCCGTTTTAGAGATACAAAGTGTTGAAGTTGTTAAAAAAATTGATTTTTTGTTTATATCTCTATCGACCGATTTCAATAAAATTTAGTAAAAATAATGTACGATAGTAGGCCTTGTATTCCCTAAAATATAAGCTCTAAAGATTCAACCAGTGGTGTACAACTTTACAGGGTCACCCCTTTTTTATAAAAAAAATCCTGCGTCATTGTATTTTTTCTCTCACGCTATTGTAACGAATTTATATTCTAATGCACAAAATACGTACAATAGGTAACTTGAATTTTTTTCCAAATTTCACCGTTCTCAAGTTATTTATACCAATACAATCTACCCTTGTGGCAGACACTTCTGATCATAATATTACAAGAATATTTATGTTTATGTTTAAAAGTAAGTGCAATTTAGCAAGCACATCAACAAAATTCTTTACACTCATCGCTTTCATCTTTTTGGATTAAAACAATATTTGGAAAATCACGACAAAGGAATGAAAGGCACAGAAATTAAATTTTAAAAGCATTTGACGACGATCCTCGGCTAAGTACACAAAGAACGTCTCGGCAACTTGGGGTGAGTAAATCGAAAATTTGAAACGTTCTACGTAAGGATGGCAGAATTCCGTACCATTTACAACCTGTGCAAAATTTACTTCCGGGAGATGCAGAGAGACGCCTGAATTTTTATCAAATACTTTGGACCGATGAGGCTACGTTCACAAGACGAGGGGTAGTCAATTTTCACAATCTGGATATAAGAAAATCCTCATGAAATTCGGAGTCATTTCTAAACTTTCTAGAAAACTATCTATTTGAATTATTAGAGGATGTTCCATTAAATATACGACAAAATAGCTGGATACAAATGGATGGTGCTCCTGTGCATTTTAGGAGAACAATATAAGAATGGCCTAATGAAAATTATATGGATGATGGATAGGTAGAAGACCAAATGCCAATGTCAACCATAATGGTGCAGAGGGTCCAGTTTCTTGGCCAGTCAGATCGCCAGATCTAAACTCCCTGGACTTCTATGTTTGGGGTGACCTACTTGAAAAGTTTACTCTACTCCAATAGATACTAGACCACAACTACTGCAGCGAATTGAAGATGGGTGTAATGAATTAAAAGAAAACCACCACATGATATTAGCTTCAATTAGTTCAAATAGAAGATGTCAGAAATGTATCGATGTGAGTGGTTCGCATTTTAAACAATTGCTGTAAATACGTAACGTTAATTTTGTTTCTTGTTTAGTTGTCGTTGCTTGGTAAATGTATTTTTATTATTATTTTGATTTAAATTGTTCTTATTTGTAAAGCAAATGCCTCCAGGGAAAACTAAAACACACTAGGAACACTACCTCAAAAGTGATGTGGAAAGAATTTTGTTGATGTGCTTACAAATTGCACTTCTTTTAAGCATAAACATAAATATTTTTGTAATATTATGATTTGAAGTGTCTGCCACACGGGGATTGTATTTGTATGAATAATTTGAAAATGGTGAACCTTAGGGAAAAAATTCAAGTCACCTTTTTTACGTATTTAGTGCATTAGAATATAAATCCGTCACTATAACTTGTAAAAAATGCAGTTGCGTAGGTATTTTTATAAAAAGGGGGTGACCTCTGTCCAGTTGTACACCACTGGTAAAACCTTTAGAGCTCATATTTTAGGGAATGCAACGCCTACTATCATTCATTATTTGCACCAAATTTTATTGAGATCAGTTAATAGATTCCTGAGATATCAACAAAAAATATATTTTTTAACAACTTCCACACCCTGTATCTCTAAAACGAAGCCGTTCCAGACCTATGTTTATAAGGCAAACTCCTATGATTTTAAAGAGATCTATCTGTCCTCGAAGTTTCCTGCATAAAATTCAGACCACCCTGTATACAACTATTATTTTGCAATGAGAAGTGCAGAACAAATATTTTTTGAGGAGACGATCGTTAAAATATCTGAAGTTACCTTCATCATCTTGCTACCTGTGAAAAAAATTTACAATATACAGGGTGTTTTAGAAAGACCTCCCGTCAATACAGGGGTCATAGTACGACAAAAAATAAAAAATTCCAAAAAATAATCAGACCAGCGTATTTGGTGTTCTTAAAAAACCTGGAGTGCCAAATTTCATAAAAATATTTCGCACCGTTTGAAAATTTTCGTGAAAATTCTATTAAAAAAAAAAATTTTATCGCTCTGCATCTCGAAAACAAGAGGAAATAGACATATAGCTCATATGACAAAAAATTCTTATTTTTTGTCGTACTATCACCCCCTGTATTTACAGGAGGTCTTTCTGAAACACCCTGTATATAAAAAGTACCTTTAAGTATGGTCAAGGGTTATTCCTATGATGCTAGTTTAGGTCAACCAAAAATCTTACACTGAAGAAAAACAGACAAGTAAAAAAAAACACTGCGCACTTGTTTATTGTATTCACAAGGTACGTATAAAATAAGGTACAATCCGTACGATATTTGTTGCGATAGATTTCCAAGAAGACCCCTGCCGTGGTAAATTGTTACAATAGTTCTTAGAATTCTCTCTCAACAAATATTGTACTTCTTATATTGTACAGTGTACTTTTTTTAAAACCTGACATAGGCCAACTGTTTTATTTGAAGTGATAGACTAGTACTTGTAGGAAATAACTTGACTAAGAAAAATTTACAAATAATTATTTCTGGTGTTGCTAGATTTCTTCAGTAGCTACTAAAACAATGTTTTTTTTTAAATGGCAACACCGTATTTTTTAAACATAATTTTAAATCTTCAAATTCTAAATAAAAAACGTTAAGTTACATTTCCTTATTGGAGTAGCCGTTTTAGAACAATCAGCAAAAGCAACGAAAATAATCTGAAGTCGGTAGAAATTAAAAGAAGCTAACATTAACAGTAGTAGGCCTTGGAAATTAAACAAAAATTGTGTTGTTTGAAAGGAACCATCATTATTGTTCTGTCATTGTGGAATTTGACAGCAGTTGTATTTGAATGTGTATAAAAATAACGTTTTAATTCACTTGTTCAGATTAATCAGTTATTCAATCCAAAAGAGAAAGTTGAATTAATTTTTCTTCATGTTGGTGGCTTAAATCTACGCAATGCGTGCGCTGAATTCGGTGCAAGACATAGAGATAGCCTTTTCCAAATCCGGAGATTTTAAGAAATAACTTAGTAAACCGCAAATACTCAAAATCGTCTTAAATTCTGACACCATCTTCGGACATAAAATTTGACATTACTGATTGCCGCCATAAAAAATTGGGTGTTCCATTTAATATTCTCAAGTCGACCTTGCCAAAGTCAAATGCAATGTCATCAGCATATTTGTTAGTGATATCCTAACATTTATTTAAAACATTTTTCGATAGGACTTTTTGGAAACTACAAGTAAACTCTTAATTAATACTTTTTTTATCATCGTATATTTATGTGTGACGTCACTGACCAACTAGAAACCGACACTGATTGAACATAAAACAAATTATGTCATACAACAAAGGGATGTTACATCCACAATAAAGATTCCATATACAAAGTGTCTCACGGTGACGGCCTAGTAGAATTATTTCAGAGAAGTGATTTGAATTTTGAAAACTTTTGATACCGGGTTTTCGGGCATGCCCTGCTCAACTAAAATAATGGCGTTCACGTACCACTTCCGGTGATACCGGAAGTCGCCATCAACTTTTTTCAAAAAAAATGGAGAGAAACAGTGACTAGCTTCAAACCATGTGTATTTTATAGTAAGAAAGATAAAGCAACAATATTTATAGGGGGGGATAGCTAGACCCCTAAGCTTCCCATCCATACTTTCAAAATGGCTTAATTGCATACAGGGTGCTAGAAATTTAATGCCGAGATTAGTTAACTTCAAACCTTCATAAGTCGGTTTTTTAAATGGAACACCCTGTATGTTCTATATTCTGATATGTTGAATAAATAAAGATTACATTAAAAAACCGGACACTTTGCGATAGCACAAGGAAATGGAGATATATTCTATGGAGTTCGGCCAAAATTTTAGAAAAGGAAAATAAAATTTAAAAGAAGATTAAGGGACTTTGATTATTTTATTAAACGGTGAAAGATGTGTGTCAAATAATCCTTGTTAGCTACAAACATTACAAGAAATAATACCTAACAGAATAAACATAATATTTTTAGCAGTAGAAGCAGATAAACAAACAAATTTAAACAGTAAAAACTAACTAAAAACCAAGCATCATTCTCGGTTATTAAAACGACAGATTAATTTTCGAAACGTTAAAAACGTATTCAAGTACGTGAACAGTGATGTGAATTTTAATTTGTCTGTTTTTTTTCAGTCACTTGGTTCGACAAAAGTAGTTTTATAAAAATAATCCTTGACGAATACTCTTGGTGCAAATTGGTGCATTGTTATTTTTTTCAGTAGGTAGAAAAATATCGAAATAAATAGAGGATGAAAAAGTTAAATTCATTCCGAA